CCTTATTTCAGGCATCTAACTAGAAACGCTTTCAAAAAACCCGCTGACTTCAGGGCGAGGGAACCAGAAGAGCAAAAATGCTAACTCAGTTCCATATTTTAGGGCTCACTACTATGGTACTCTGTCTCACTGTGTTGTTTCTGCACATGTTTTTATGTTTTGTCCCAAGGAGCTGAGCGTGTTGCTGGTCAGAGAAGATGAGACATTGAAGTCTCCCCTGCAGAAACTGCTGTCTGCTTCTTCCACTGAGGAGCTGCTGAAGAGAACTGGAGCCAAATCTGGAGATCTGCTGCTGATGGCAGCCGGTTCCCTCCACACTGTGGTAAGATCAGTGGCATCAAAGTTAGGTTGTGTTGGACTGATGAAGGGAAAGATAAGACTCTATAACATGATTATTAATTTCCCTTCTGTCTCTCTGCCTTACTCTTCCTCTCTCCTGTATCTTCCTATGCCACTGCTCTGCCCTCAGCGTTCCTTGCTGGGCAGTCTTCGTCTGCAGTGTGCTCAGCTCCTGGAGTCTTATGGCATTCCACTCCGAGACCTTTCAGCCTTCCACTTCCTGTGGGTTGTTGACTTCCCTCTTTTTCTCTCTAAAGAAGATGCGCCGGAGCAGCTGGAGTCAGCCCATCATCCATTCACTGCTCCGCTGCCAGAGGATACACAGTTACTCTACACAGACCCACACAAGGTTATCATGTAGTTTTAGGATATTTAGAAATAATTATCCATCTCATGGGATGCATCAAGCCTTATACTGTGTACTATCAATTTTCTAGGTACGTGGTCAGCACTATGACCTGGTGTTGAATGGCTGTGAGATTGGAGGAGGATCCATCCGTATCCACAAAGCCTCAGAGCAGCTTCATGTCCTGAAGAATATCCTCAAGGCAAGTCTTGATACAATATATTTGGCCAGTGGTCAGTCTACCTTTGGTGTTCACAGCTGGTTTTGTCATGTGTTCGTTGCAGGAGGATCCTAGTCTTCTCTCTCACCTGCTGGAGGCTCTGGACTCAGGAGCTCCACCACATGGAGGCATTGCTTTGGGTAAAGTTAACTCCATGATTGACTGTAGCATGCTTTAATAATTACCACTGAGTCAGTTTGTCAGAGTTTTAAAAAAGCATATAATTATATTATTATTTATATCCTCAGGCAAATAAGTCACTTTAGCCTGACCAAACTGCAGTATGACTGCACCTTCAAGCGTAGATATAGCACTGCTGGGGGCCCTGTGTGTGGTGGGTGGTGGGGGGCTAAAGAGTTCTAAAGTGAGAGAAGGGTCATTAATCCGAGTGTGTTTTCCATTTTGTTTTCCTAGTTCAGTTCTTTCTTATTAACATGTCATCAGTGTTACATAGAAACATAAAACCAAGAAACACAGGACCGTCCAAGATAATATCAGTCGGAGACGGTGATGTTATGACCACTGATCTTAATTATCTCATTTCTGAGAAATCATGTTTTGTCCCTTATTTTGGCACATCATTTAAGTTATGATAGCCTGTATACTGTATATTATGAGCAGGTTTGGGCTCTTAATTTGTGCAACATTCAGGAATTTAATGCTAATGTTATTTTATTACGCTGGGTTTACGTGTGTGAAGGAGCTTCTGTGCCCTGTACATTGATGTTTTCAGGCACTCAGTTCTAGTCCCTCTATGTTAAGAGTTAACTTTGTGTAGTCTGTGCTAGAGTTATCCTGCTACTAGCTGCTGTTTTTCATTGGAGTATGTGTCATGCTAGCTATACTTGGTTAACAGATTTATATCATATGTGGTTAAAAGGTTTGGGAAATGCAAGGATGGACGCCATGTACTAATTCATCTCTATTTTACTGATTTCCAGTACAGTGTTTAATTTCTAAATACCATATACAAGCTGTTAGGACATTGTAGTGATGGGTTTTCCCCTCCTCCTGCTGCATGCATGTACTTTATTGCTTGTAAAGGAGAAACCTGTCCATAGAATCAATGGAGATGTCACCACTGTCTCTCTGTCTACTCTGGGACTTGGGCATTTTGGTAGGGGGTCAGCTGGAAGCTATGCCCACTGGAATCACAGGGGATGGTGGCAAGGACCACCAGGGGACTGCCCCAGAAGGCCTATAGTCCAGTGTCGCTGAAGGCAGAGTGGTAACAGTGATAAAATGCAGCCAGTAAAACACAGATTTATTAGTTTTGCATATCTGTCAACATAAACTATAACAGCATAGCCTGTCCGTGACAATATAATAATCAGACTCAGTAAGAAAAACCTCTGGAAATCGGGGAATGGAGTTTAAAGTAACAGCCGTGCATGAGCAGTAAATATACAGTAAAAACAGCAAAATAAATGAAATGTAATATGTATACTACTAAAAGTAATAATTGAGTTAAAAAGGTAAATGTGTTTATGTATTTATTATTGTCTTAATGCTCATCCATGTTTTCCTAGGTTTGGACCGGCTTGTCTCCATCATGGTTGGGGCCCCCAGCATCCGTGACGTCATTGCCTTCCCCAAGTCGTTCCGGGGTCATGACCTCATGAGCTGTGCTCCTGACTTGGTGTCTGACGAGGAGCTGAAGTCTTATCACATCTCTGTCAGATGGCCAACAGAGCAAGGAGGAGGTGCGGGGAAGTGAAGACATGAAACAGGAAGAGGCGATGCCTTCCCAGATTCTGTAACCCTGACAACAGAGGAAAAAGGGGATAAGGACATGGAGACAGTTATGAAAAAACTCTGGCAGTTGATTGGCAGAGACGAGGAGGAAGAGAAAATGAGGATGAAGTGATGCTGTGGCCCAATCTCAGTAGTGTTAGTTTGAAATGTAAGAGAAAGGTGTACACGGAGACAGCCACAGGACACAGAATGAAAACTGACAACACCAAGTTAAACAAAGAAGAAAAGCTTTCTACCAAGTCTCATGGGTAATAAA